TTTGGCGTTCAGGTCCACCTGGGTTGAAATCATCATGGGCCCCCCAAAAACCAGGGTCCCCGATAATCGCCACCACCTTTCTCCCCTCTAGCTATGGCCCTGATGGCATTTAACTTTCTTAATGTAATTTTATCAATTGAATAATAACATAGTATATTTGACTGTCCCTCATTAGTCAAAACATGCTGTCCCACTCTTGAAACAACCTTTTCTAAAGTGGCATGACAAAGATAGCTTCAAATAGAAAATATGCTTAACACATTTTAACAATATTATTGCAACATTTGATGTACAAATATATTAGATTTTTTTTTATTTAGAACATTGTTTTATTTATAACAGATTTATATCCTTAACATTAATTTAGTCTAAATCTATGCCACTGACCACTGAGTCGACTTCACAATAGGTACTTCCTGTTTGATGATTTTCACAGCCACATTTATGGCATAATTTCCAGAAAGTCAAATAATTTCAACAACTTGACACACCTGCTTGAATTCAGCACCAATCATGTTAACTATAATGTTGTAAAAGAAGATATAAATGCAGTGAAGCTCAGATGTCCCACATTAGTCAGTGTCCCACATTACACTAATCCACCCTCCCTGCCCTCACAATAATCAGATATGCTGAAGTTGTCCCTCTAGTATTTAATATTTTTGATTCTGCTCTGCTGCATTCCATTAAATTCCGCTGTGTGTTGTTAGGATGAAAAAAGTTTAAAAAGTCAAATTTCTAGGGTGGTCTGCCTATGCGGTAAATTCATCATCCTCAGACGTAAAATAGAACAGGGTAAAAACATGTGGCTTTGACAACTGTTTAATTAACACTTGTGGTTAGGACGGTCATTTAGCCTATTAAAATAAAAATATTTGCAAATAGATCAAATGCATTAGTTTGCGATAAATTGTAGTTATTTAACTACTTTTCTTTGTTCATCTCCTTCTAATGTCTTTATGTATTATTTATATCTGCAGGCCACTGTCCTCTAGTTCAACATCAGCGTCTTCTTCAGGATTAGGCTACTAGAAACTTCCAGGCGAGTGTTTTGGAGCTGGTTGGAGCTACAGTCTGTAGAACACCTGCAGGATCCTTTACTATTATCACATACATTAAATATAGCCGCCCGCAAGCGGCGATCATGGGAGTCCAAGCACAACCCATCAAATATGCAAATCAAACTGATGTCAAAAACTTGACATGACGTTGATTTGCTGTAAATTCAATGTCAAACATATTGACTTACATATACTGTACAAAACCAATTTCAGTGTGGGATTAACTTCCTATTTTCACCCAATTACCACTAGAAGACATTGCAATCCAAACTGAATTTAAAGTGATGTTACAGCATCGTCATCAATGACTAATATTTGACGTCAAATTGACATCAAGGTGCCGATGGGAAACGCCTTGTGTAGGGTTAAGGCTAGATGGCATACAGCAAAAACTACTGGGCATGCGCACATCAATATAGCGTATTTTTTCTCACACTGTACAACAATAATGACTATTTTTGCATTATTGTAAGGGGTAGGTTTAGGGTTGGAGTAGGTGTAGGTGTAGACGTTAAAGGTGCCATAGAATGGAAAACTGTATTTACCTTGGCATAGTTGAATAATAACCATTCTGTACATGGAAATGACATACCGTGCGCCTCAAACACCATTGTTTCCATTTTACCATGCGAATCAGAACATAACACCGACTGTGACGTTACAGTCGGGATCACTAATAGTTACGCCCCCAACATTTGCATATACCCGCCCATGTTCTATGCCAGCCGCCAGCCGAACCTGCACAGCCGAATCATCAGAAGTTCTGCAGGTCTGGGATTGTAACGAGTAATAATATTACCCAAATTCTATTAGTAATGCGTTATATTACTGCGTTACAGCAAAAAGTAATATACTACTGTAATATTATTACTTTTGTAATGCGTTACTCCCAACACTGGACAAAACATCTATTTTTGGTGATTCAGTGACTCGCTCAACACAAAACACTCTCACTGGTCACCACCTAGTGGATCTTAAAACAAATAATACTGCTGCATTATAAGGCCAAAAATGTAACAAAAATACATGTTTGGCGTTCAGGTCCACCTGGGTTGAAATCATCATGGGCCCCCCAAAAACCAGGGTCCCCGATAATCGCCACCACCTTTCTCCCCTCTAGCTATGGCCCTGATGGCATTTAACTTTCTTAATGTAATTTTATCAATTGAATAATAACATAGTATATTTGACTGTCCCTCATTAGTCAAAACATGCTGTCCCACTCTTGAAACAACCTTTTCTAAAGTGGCATGACAAAGATAGCTTCAAATAGAAAATATGCTTAACACATTTTAACAATATTATTGCAACATTTGATGTACAAATATATTAGATTTTTTTTTATTTAGAACATTGTTTTATTTATAACAGATTTATATCCTTAACATTAATTTAGTCTAAATCTATGCCACTGACCACTGAGTCGACTTCACAATAGGTACTTCCTGTTTGATGATTTTCACAGCCACATTTATGGCATAATTTCCAGAAAGTCAAATAATTTCAACAACTTGACACACCTGCTTGAATTCAGCACCAATCATGTTAACTATAATGTTGTAAAAGAAGATATAAATGCAGTGAAGCTCAGATGTCCCACATTAGTCAGTGTCCCACATTACACTAATCCACCCTCCCTGCCCTCACAATAATCAGATATGCTGAAGTTGTCCCTCTAGTATTTAATATTTTTGATTCTGCTCTGCTGCATTCCATTAAATTCCGCTGTGTGTTGTTAGGATGAAAAAAGTTTAAAAAGTCAAATTTCTAGGGTGGTCTGCCTATGCGGTAAATTCATCATCCTCAGACGTAAAATAGAACAGGGTAAAAACATGTGGCTTTGACAACTGTTTAATTAACACTTGTGGTTAGGACGGTCATTTAGCCTATTAAAATAAAAATATTTGCAAATAGATCAAATGCATTAGTTTGCGATAAATTGTAGTTATTTAACTACTTTTCTTTGTTCATCTCCTTCTAATGTCTTTATGTATTATTTATATCTGCAGGCCACTGTCCTCTAGTTCAACATCAGCGTCTTCTTCAGGATTAGGCTACTAGAAACTTCCAGGCGAGTGTTTTGGAGCTGGTTGGAGCTACAGTCTGTAGAACACCTGCAGGATCCTTTACTATTATCACATACATTAAATATAGCCGCCCGCAAGCGGCGATCATGGGAGTCCAAGCACAACCCATCAAATATGCAAATCAAACTGATGTCAAAAACTTGACATGACGTTGATTTGCTGTAAATTCAATGTCAAACATATTGACTTACATATACTGTACAAAACCAATTTCAGTGTGGGATTAACTTCCTATTTTCACCCAATTACCACTAGAAGACATTGCAATCCAAACTGAATTTAAAGTGATGTTACAGCATCGTCATCAATGACTAATATTTGACGTCAAATTGACATCAAGGTGCCGATGGGAAACGCCTTGTGTAGGGTTAAGGCTAGATGGCATACAGCAAAAACTACTGGGCATGCGCACATCAATATAGCGTATTTTTTCTCACACTGTACAACAATAATGACTATTTTTGCATTATTGTAAGGGGTAGGTTTAGGGTTGGGGTAGGTGTAGACGTTAAAGGTGCCATAGAATGGAAAACTGTATTTACCTTGGCATAGTTGAATAATAACCATTCTGTACATGGAAATGACATACCGTGCGCCTCAAACACCATTGTTTCCATTTTACCATGCGAATCAGAACATAACACCGACTGTGACGTTACAGTCGGGATCACTAATAATTAAGCCCCCAACATTTGCATATTCCCGCCCATGTTCTATGCCAGACGCCAGCCGAACCTGCACAGCTGCATCAATTGGTTAGCTGGGCCAGTGTGTGTTGTGATTGGCAGCACTCGGCGCCTGGTCGGGAAATGTCATGCCCCTTACCATAGCCGCCTGCGAGCGTCAGTGTAAATATTGCGTCAAAATCAAATCACTCTAAGTTCGTCTGCCTTGGGAAAGCTAGCCTAGCGTGTCTCCGACATAGTGATAACACTCCCTGCCTTCTCTAGTGCAGCTCAACCAGGTCTCATCCCATTCGTCATATTTGTGATATCACAAATCTCGGAAAATATGCATTGTAGTCCAAACGAGTCGTTCGTTGTAGTTTTTTAAAAGTGATTTCTGTTAAATAAAATATCTCCTTTTGAAGTGGACTTTGAGCTTTGTAACTTTGCAGATCTTTTTTATGCTCAAACAGCAACATTACAGACTAACTAAAGTTGAAAAAGTGAAAAAGCATAATAGGACCCCTTTAAACTAAACTGCTAGACTGAATAGAGTAAACTAAACTCATGCAGTTGCATTAAGGTGCTCTGGACATAACTAACATTCAATGCTTTACAAATAGTGCGGTTTCCACTTAGGCCTATGTTGCTGATGCCCGCATTTTATATACAGTATAATTACCCAACGATTTAACTGCGAGAGACAGTATTGAAATATATATATTTTCCCTGTGTTTCCTTCCTGCTGTGTGAGCCACTGAAATGAGCTGCACTGTGAAACAGCCAATCAGAGCAGAGCGCAACATTATTATTCATGAGTCATGACCCTTCCAAATAAGGTAAAAACAGGCCATTGCATTCTAGGGACAAATCCTAGAGTTGTAAATGGACATGTAAAACCGTTTCTGGAGATTTTTTGCCCTTACCCAAGCCACATACCTTCTATGTAGATATCAGAGAACAATTTAAAATATTGTATCAATGCATTCTATGGCACCTTTAATTAAACACAATCTAATAGGTAGAAAATTCAATTTACTGTTAGCTTACGGTTTTAGAGGATACGATGTAAATCAGCTTCCATGTGTTTAGCCCACTGAGATCAGTGGTTTAGCCACGTGTCATCGCGTGCCTTCTGGCCTCGTCACAACATTGGTCCGCCTCCATTACGCGTTTCTATAGCAACATCTAACGAAAGACTTGTGTGAGTAAAAACATGCAGAGAATGTCGGCAATGAACAGGAAATTAATCCAAAACCTCGCCGAAACTTTATGCAAGCAGGTCAAACATTGTAGGTATCTCTACTAATGTGTTTTTTCCTTCTAAAATGTCAGTTAATATTATTCTCATAAAACGTTTGCTAGCAGATATTAGTTCATTACCCGACTGTGTCCTGCATTAAAAATCAGAAGAAAATGCCTTGTTTAGTGACTGTTCAGTCATTTGTCAATACTGTGGTCATGCTGTAGTTAATAAAACAGAGACGGAGTGTCTAATAAGGCTGTTCAACGGTCTGCTGGGAGAGCAGGCAGAGAGAAGAGCGGCTCATGGACTGGACCGGGTCAGGTTTAGAAATATACTGCACAACACATTCGGCATGACCGACGATATGATGATGGACAACGGTAAGTTTCTGATTTGGATGAGAACGATTATAAACCTAGTAGTCTGGTCTGAGTATTGACCTGTAGAGACAACCACTAAAATAATCGAAATTGCATACTTGAATGGACAGTACAGTATATAGAGAAGTGTGTTAAATTCAAATACATACACATATAAAAATATTTACATGATATGTAGATTTACATTAAGTTTGCAGAGTAATAAATATGATATAGTAAATGACTAATATTTGCAGTAGGTTTCTAATTTATCAAATAATATTCAAATAAACTGATTATTCTTCTTATGAGTCTCAGGAGAATATTAACTACTTAATTTTTGTATTGACAGTTTTTCGTGCCTTTGACAAGGACAATGACACCTACATAAGCGTCAAAGAATGGGTGGAAGGTTTGTCTGTCTTTTTGCGAGGCACACTGGATGAAAAAATAAAATGTGAGTTCTCTGTGTCAATTGAATGTGGTGATCATGAATATTATGTACATAATATTTATATACTAATATATATATATATATATATATATAGTCTGTTTTGATGTATACAACCTGCATGGCGACGGATACATCTCACGGGAGGAGATGTTACAAATGCTGAAAGATAGCCTCATCAGACAACCCACTGAAGAGGATCCCGATGAGGGCATTAAGGACATTGTGGAGATAGCCTTGAAGAAAATGGTACTGCTATTTGTCATAAAGCTTACATGTAATATTTTACCATTAAGTATAAAATACATAAGTATTTTTTTTTTCAGGATTATGACCATGATGGGAAAGTTTCTTATTCTGATTTTGAGAAGACAGTCAAAGATGAAAACCTTTTACTAGAAGCTTTTGGCAACTGCCTCCCAGATGCAAAGGTAGAAATCACAAGCAACTATATAACAATTTATTGTAATTTTAAAGGACAAGCTCTCAAATTGTTCTTTAATTTGTTTGGCAGAGCACACTGGCATTTGAGCAACATGCATTCCAGGAGCTACATGGACATTGAAAAGAATCACTTAATTTTTTTTATGGAAAAAAAGATAGTTAAACAATATTTGTGGGTGAAACTGAAATAAATATCTAAAATATTGTTCAATGTGAGACCATGATTGTCTTACTAAATTCTTCTGCGTGGCTTTGCAGTAGGGGTCTTCACTTGTACAGGTTTGACCTGTGGAACAGATGCAACCTAAGAAGAAAAGAAACAACATTTCAACAACATATCACAATATACCATAATTATATATATATATATATATATATATATAGCCTATTTAAATGTTTTATTTTTCAATTTTAGTTATTTTAGTACATTAAATTAAACTAAATGTTGCCTTGGCAACTAGGTGAAAAAAAGTTTATTTCAGTTGTAAAGGTGATGGATTGGCCAAGCATGTCTCCAGACCTAAACCCTATTGAGCTTCTGTGGGTCTCTAACATCCACCAGCTCCGTGATGTCGTCATGGAGGAGTGGAAGAGGACTCCAGTGGCAACCTGTGAAGCTCTGGTGAACTCCATGCCCAAGAGGGTTAAGGCAGTGCTGGAAAATAATGGTGGCCACACAAAATATTGACACTTTGGGCCCAATTTGGACATTTTCACTTAGGAGTGTACTCACTTTTGTGGCCAGCGGTTTAGACATTAATGGCTGTGTGTTGAGTTATTTTGAGGGGACAGCAAATTTACACTGTTATACAAGCTGTACACTCACTACTTTACATTGTAGCAAAGTGTCATTTCTTCAGTGTTGTCACATGAAAAGATATAATAAAATATTTACAAAAATGTGAGGGGTGTACTCACTTCTGTGAGATACTGTATATATACTATAATAACTCTGGTACACAATGTACTTATGTAAGTTACATAATATTTACAACAGGAATGAAACGGACAAACTAACCTTACTCATTGTTTGACGGATCAAACTGGCGGTTACATTTAACGACTGATCCTCCATATCCACCTTGGGCAGCTCTGGTAATTTTGGACCAATCAGAGTCTCAGTTTCAGCTGCTCGTGTGTCTCTGCTCGATTACTCTCTGCTTTCTTCTAGTTTCTGATTGTGATGTTTTGCTAAAAAAAAAAAAAAATGTAGATTTTCTACAGATGTAACTTATTAGGAGACAATTCATATAATTTAAAATACCTGTATTTTGGCTTGCTCTGTTAACATATCTTCTCCTGTCCTGTAACTTTTGCCTCGTCTCTTCCACAGTTTCATACTCGGGGGGCATAGCAGACATGTAACTGACCCCCAAAGAAGCTCTTTTCATCAGTGTGCCGTTTAGCTACCCTGCACAATTCCACATTGTAACGCATGTCACTCCATGAAAAAAAGTGTCTTTTGAGTCTCTCATGAACGATTTTATTTATATATACAAAAATCTGACACCAACTTTTTAAAAGTTTTATTATAGGCATTAAAAAAATTAATCATCCCATTTTTACGGAATTTTAAATTTTAGGTTATCATATTTAGATTAAATAAACATCAGCATTAAATTCTCTTTATAATAATCATCTTGCAGTGTCATGACCTTGAGCAAAAAAAAAAAAAACTTGTAAAATGGTTAAATTAGCTTGTCAAATAAGCCTTACATTGTACATTATGAATATTGTTGGCTCCTTGACAAATTGCTTTTAGAAGTCGCTTTGCATAAAAGCATCTGCTAAACGTGTAAATGCAAATTAAACTGTTTATATATTTATTTTAAAACACGCTTGATACTTATTTAGAAAGGACATATTAAACTACTGAAAAGTGAAAGTAAATATATTTACAATATTACAAAAAAAAAATTACATTTCTACTTTGCATTCATTATGTGCCAGTTTCCACACAAAAAATTAAGCAAAACAAGTATTTACAACACTGATCATAATAAGAAATATTACTTGAGCAGCTAATCAGCATATTTAAATGATTTCTGAAGAATCATGTGACACTGATGACTGGAGTAATGACTGCTGAAAATTCAGCTTAGCTATCACAGGAATAAGTTACATGTTAAAATATATTAAAACAGAAAATAGTTTTATTTTAAATTGTAATAATATGTCACATTATTACTGTTTTAGTGTCTTTTTTCTTATGAAATAAATGTAGCCTTGCCTAGGTGAGCATAAGAGACTACTTTCAAAAACATTACAAAATTAAGTGTGGCACAAGCTCACTTTAAACATGTTTACCTTGCACTCGCCAGCTTCTGGAATTGAAATAAGTAGACTTCGGTGAACTGCTCTGCTGGGTATTCATCCAGCGCCCTGTACTCCTCGATCACTCCATAGAGAGCAAAGAGCTGCACCAGCTCTGTCATCACTCCAATAGCGGGCACTCCTTGAACTATCAGGAACCGAGACTCCAAGTTGATGGTATATACCTGAAATCAGTGATTCAGTCAAAAATATTATTTACTTTGGCTGTGGCTCAAAACCTAGAGAGGTGACTTAGTATACAACATCTTTGTGCATACTGATTAGTACGACATGCTTAAATACGGTGCTCACAAACTAAAACCGTTTATAAAATAAGCCCACCTTGACAGCTTTGAGGCGTCTTCCCTCTCTGTATCTTGGGCGTGTTTGGGCAACATTTTGTTGCTCATGGTGTTTATACACTTTTTGTGTGTCCCATTCAGAAGGATTAGCGACCGAACGGTCCATTTGTGTGGTGAAGTAAGCGACCAAAGAAAACAATTCATAGGTTTTCAAAATACAAGTCTCGTTTTTTTAAACGACCATTTTAATTGTTATTGTGGTGATTTGCAATTGCAGTTAATTTGACATATTAATTCATAATTAAGCAGGGTATGCACCAATTTAATGTCATTTTATTGAACATTTAATAAAGATCACTAAAATGTCATTCAAACTTTTATTAAATGTACTTATCTGTCACTTGGGTGTTCTTTATTAAGTCTAATTGTGTGTTTCGAATCAATTTAAATGTTGTACTTCACCGAAATGGTACGAAACTTCGACTTTTGTCACACATGCTATGTAAACCACTGATCTATAATAGAGAATATAGATCAGTGATGTAAACGCACACATATCGTGTTTCGTGTTCGAAAAGGCTAATCAAGTCACACTTGTTGCCTGTCAGAAACGACCGCCATAGGAAATGAATGGTGGAAAAACAATTAATCTACACACAAATGTGACTCCCAACTTAACAAAAACAAAAGGTTAATTTAATATATATAATATCTAGCCTATGAATATACACTGAGTGTTCTGCAATATTGCATTTATGCTGTTATTAATGAATTTGTCAAAGATCACAGGACTGTTTAACTTGACTTATTTTAAACCTAAACATAAGATAATTCCCTTGGCAATAAATAGACCAACTCAGAGAGGTCCTGCAGTTCAAAACATGCATGTATACCAATGTAGTCTTTAATATAGCCCACTTCACATATAATCATATTTTAATATTTCATAATGACATCAGATTCTAGACTCAAGTTCTTATTTTCATTAACTTCTCATAATTTGCTGATACAAGCATTGAGAAGCATCCCTACTGAATCAAAGAGAAAAATGTCTAAAGATGTTGTATACTCTAACAAAGTTGACAAGGATGATCCAAATGAGTGTCATTTAGGTGAGTTTTCATTGAGAGATTTTTTTCTACTCTTATATTCTCACATAACTGCCTTTTTGTAAATGTACCTGTTCAAGTGAAGAGTGAGTATGAGTACAGTCTATGATCAACAGGCAAATGTTTGCAGTAAAACTTTGAGTTTAGAGGTTCTATTTATGTTGTATGGTTTAGGTAAAAGCAGTATCATGTTAACATGTTAAATGATTATGTTCAAGATCAATTAAAGTGAAATATGGCATATTCTCCGAAAAACAATTAAGTAAATTTAAGGGTACCTTATGGATACACATTACTACTCTAAGGTACTACATAATATGCTCCATTTAGATAGTACAAAGAGGGTACCTTCCCCAGTGACAAGCTGTTATATATTCAAAAGACATGTAAGAATTTCACAGTGGTGTGTTAGCATGTGAATGAGCATGATCTTTTGGATAAGATTGAGGTTACAGCAGATGACAAATGGGGAAGTTGGGTCCAACAGTCATGTTGTTTGTTTTAATAGCCAAAATTTACCAAAAGTGCATGGGGGGGGCATCTGGGTGGTTGCAAGGGCTGGAAGATCTTTTTCTGTTTTCTATTTAATGTGAAGACTATCTTGCAAACTCTCAGTGACCTTCCTAATGTGGAAAAAAATTCATGGCAGGATGTTGTGATGTTCTTATGAAATCATGGTAATGTTAGCATATTAATAAAAGGGTACCGCCCACACGCAGCGCTGGGTGCAAAGCATTACTAAACAATTACTGTAATGTAATTACCCTTCCCTTGAAAAAGTAAAGTAATGGATTGCTCTTATTTTTTTGTAATTAGTTACTTCTGATGTAATTGCATTAAATACTGTATAGACTACGGAACAATTCTGTATAAAACAATAGTTGATTTAACATCAAAATGTAACATCCAATGTTAACATGTATGTTTTAAGGTAATCTTCTCTCTTTACATACTCAGTTTAAGAATAATTTATGCAATTCTATATTATTTGTTTGAAAGAATTAAAAAAAGCAGTCTCATGTCTATCCTTGTACTGTTCAATTAGTCGAGGTTGATATGGGATTTTGAAAGTAATTAGTAATAATAAGCAATGAAAGACTTTTTAAAGAAAAAAAGTAATTAGTAGCCTACAGTAATCTGCTTAAACTGTTGAAGATGTAATTAGTAGCTAGTAACTTTGCTCATTGTGCTTGTTCAAACTATTTTATCAGTATATATGATTAAATAAGTTGTGATTTAGCACAGTAAAACACTCTCTTCTATAAATTCTTGTAAGTGATTCTTCTCGAGCTCCGCAAAAGAGCAAACCGTGCTGTGACTGTGTTCGACTGGTACTGATGTTGTTCTGTATTCTCCTCACGGGTGTGCTGATCGCACTCAGCTTCCAGTGTACGTATGTGCCCTTAA